ACCCGAGAACCCGGAACCGGGAACCCAAAAACCCAGCCTGCTACCAAAATCGGCTGGAAACTTTCGCCAAATCTTTCAACTTCCGCTAGGTTATTGTGGGAAAACCATGTGCTCGGCGATGAGGCGAGAACCACCTTTTGAAAACGGACCTCCCTCCATCCGAAAAGCTGTTGCCAAGTCTTGAACGTAAGGGCAACAAGTGGTCCGCCCTTCCGACTGGCCTCGGAGTGCGACAGGGAGGAATTCAAAAGGAATGGAGGGCCAGGAGGAGGAGGAGCAGGAGGAGGAGGAGGAGGAGGAGAAACGCGCGGCCTTGGCGCAACAACTTCCTCCAGCTGCGCCCGACGCCCACGGTACGACTGGGTGGGCACAGGACGGGCCCTCGAGCGGGCCATGCCTGGGCTCCTCAGGGCAGCCCTCGCGGACGAGAGCGGGCGACATCGGCCCCCAAGTGCTTTGTGCTGTGGCAGGCGTGGTAGGCCACGATGAAGACCTCACAATGAAGCTCAGGCCGAACGGATCCGAGGCAACGGCGGGCGAGACGATGGACAGGCAGCTCGGCATGAGGAACTTCGGGCGCACGGCGCACCGCCTGCCACAGAACAGGGCAGTCGACGTAGAGCTACAGACGAACTGTCTGGCCGCAACACCCGAAACTACAGAGTCGTATCCCTCGCTCATACAGGATGCGGCGGTATGCCACGAAGCATTTGGACCAGAAACGGAGGATGAACCACGCCCACGATGTCGGTAACCGCGCCAGCGCAGCACGCTTGAGGTCACGATTGTGAGAAGCGGTGGAGGAGGAGGAGGAGGAGGAGGAGGAGGAGGAGGCGGAGGAGGAGGAGGAGGAGGCGGATGAGGCGGATGAGGAGGAGGGGAAACAAGAGGAAGACGAGGAGGATGAGGAGGAGAAGGAGGAGGAGGAGGAGGAGGAAGGCACAGCCAAGCACACCCTAACCTGCCCCTCCCTCGCCTCGTCTTCTGGCAGCCCCCTTTCCCCCCGCCTTTCGCCCGCCATCCTCCTTCACCTCACCCCCGCCGCCACCTACGTAAGGGATGGAGATTGGGGGGCACTTGGAATCGGGTTCGGAGGGAGGATCAACGGGTCAGCATCGGCACTGGCCGCCGTGGGGACACAGCCCCTCGGCGGCCGTGGACCACCTGGCCTTCACTGAGAGCCACGCCGAGGTAGCCATCACTCCCCCTCATCAGGGGGTTGTGGCCCCGCTCGGGCCGCCTCCTCCACCCACCACTGTGCACTCCTTCCCTCCTCTTGCGCTCAACCTCCTGCTGCACGCTGACCGCACCACGCCTTTCATGGTCTGCCTGCAGCGCCCACGCCCTCTCACCCGCCCTCCGCCCCACTCTGCCCAGTTCCGCGGCATCGCCACGCAGCAACGCACAGCAGGTCACGGCCCCACCACCTCTTGACCTCGGGAACATCGGAGTGCTGGAGGAGGGAGGCCCCGCTCCAGGTGAGGCGAGCCAAGGTGGGCCTAGGCTCCCTCCCAAGGGGCGGAGGCCCACGCTCGGGCCCCATCTGCACTTGCACAACGGCAGCCACAGACAGCCTTCCCCCGCTCACCTCCTCCCCTCCCTCATCTGCATCATCATCATCATCATCATCATCATCATCATCATCATCATCATCATCATCAGCATCATCATCATCATCATCATCATCATCATCATCATCAGCATCATCATCATCATCATCAGCAGCAGCAGCAGCATCCTCAGCATCATCATCACCGTCGTCACCATCCTGATCAATACTCTCATCCTCACCCTCATCATCATTAACACTACCATCACAATCACAAGCACAATCACAATCACAATCACAAGCATCATCATCATCAACAGCATCACATCATCAGCACCATCATCATCATCCTCAACCCACCACAACAGCCATGATCAGCATCATCATCATCATCATCATCATCATCATCATCATCATAATCATCATCATCATCAGCAGCAGCAGCATCATCATTGCCATCAGCATCACCATCATCATCAGTATCATCATCACGATCGGCATCCTCAACATTGTCATCATCATCATCATCATCGTCGTCTTCATTATCATCACCACCATCATGACCATCATCATGGTCACTCCCATCAGCATCGCCGTCATCATCATCATCATCAACATCCACATCACCATCACCATCACCACCATCATCATCAGCATCGTCATCAGCATACTCATCATCGTCATCGTCATCATCATCATCGACATCATAATCATCAACACAATCATCGTAATCATCACCATCCGCATCCTCATCCTCATCATCGCCGTCAACATCATCATCGATGTCACGACAGGCATTACCGTCATCATCAGCATCATTATCAGTATCACCGTCACCATCAACATGACCATCATCAGCATCATCACCATAACCATCGCCATCACCATAACAATCATCATCAATTTCATCACCACAATCACCATCATCAGCAGCATCAGCATCGTCACCAGCATCCTCATCATCATCAGCATCATCATCAGCATCACCACCACCATCATCACCACCATCATCAGCCTCACCATCATCAGCAACATCATCACCAGGTGTTGGTCATCGTGTTTCCCACCTCTCGTCTCGCGTCACATCTTGGTGTTTGCTCCCCCTCCCGCTAGCGCTACCGACGGGAGGGATCAAGGGCCGCATCCGCTCGGAGAATCAAAGGGCCGCAGCCCGAAGCTCGAAGGGAGAGCAGGTGTGAAGAGGAGGAAAGAGGAGGGAGGAGGGAGGAGACAGGAGGAAGCGGAGGAGGGGGAGGAGGGAAAGGAGGAGAATGGGCATGGGCATGAGCATGAGCATGAAGCGCGCCGGTTCTGGGCGAGCCGCCTCGGACTCGGAGAATGCGGATCTCTGGGAAGCCTGGACGATCGTGGAGCCCGACTAGTCTGTCCAGGCATGCGCGATCGAGGCCAGTTTGAGATTGTGAGCCGAAATCGTCGCCGCATTCCGTCGCTAGCGCGGCTTCTGTGAGAAGCGTTTCGCGTGAACAGAGTTGCACAATCTCAATTCGGGCATTGGTTCGGGAATCACTTCGGGCATCGTTTCGGGCATCAACTCGGGCAGCGCATTTGGTGAACGAAATCTCCTCACCGGTTTCGAGCGCAAACTTCGAGCGCAACTTCGGGCACAACTTCGGGCGCAACTTCGGGAACCACTTCGGAAAACACAAGGAGATCCTTCCGACTGCCTCATCGCAGTAGCAAGCCAGCCATAGGGTTGTATTTGCGGCAGCGTGCCTTGTCAACGTAAGGCCTGCTGACGGCGACAATGATGACGATGACGGCGATAGTTAAGGAAGCCAAGACGATTTTGATGATGATAATAATAATGATGATGTGCATTGCTGAGGTGACTCAACATATCTCAGTTTCAATAAAAAAGCAGTTCGGCACGCCTATCTGTTTAGACTCATCGGGTGGGTCGCTTATGATCATTAGCAACACCAGCAACACCAGCAGCATCGTCATCATCATGACCACCAGCATCAACAACAACACTATCATTATTATCGTCGTCATCATCACCATCAGCATCATCACCATCAACATCATCATCACCATCAACATCATGGTCGTCCGCGTCGTAAGCATCACCATCATCATCACTCTCATCCTCATCCTCATCATCATCTTCATCACCATCACCATCACAATCACCATCATCTTCAGCATCATCATCATCACCACCGCCATCATCATCATTACCACTACCACCACCACCATCACCACCACCACCACCATCATCATCATCATCATAATCAAAATCATCATCATAATCAAAATCATCATCATTATCATCATCATCATCATCATCATCATCATCATCATCATCAGCAGCAGCAGCAGCAGCATCATCATGCCGGCGACGCGTCCTGGCGGGAAACAAAGGGGGCGGGCCTCCTCAGGAGGCGCAGAAAGCCCCTCTGGCCCTCCGAGACACGGAGGGCTCCGCAGACGGCCGGAGAGCTCCCGGAGAGGCCCCGCCGCCTGCCGAAAGAGAGAGAGCCCTGCCCTCTCTCGCGTCCCAACTCGGCGCGCCGCCGATCTTCCAAGACGACGCCACGACTTTTCGTGCATCGGGTCGGGCGAAAGGGGGGGATAGCAAAGGGGGGGTCTGAGAATCAGCTCACGTAGCTGATTTTCCCGGCGCCTCCCGGCGCCGGAGGCGGCGATGTATCGAGGAATGGGCCCGGCGGCGGGGCCGAAACCAGCTGCATGCAGCAGATTTCGTAACCCCCCCTTTCCCAATCCCCCCCTTTCGTCCGGCCCGAGTGAACACCCCGGCGGAGGTCTCGACCCCTTCCCCGGGAGCGGCTCTCCGTGCGGAGTCGGTTCTCGACGGCCGAGCACAAAAGACAAAAACACCGTGGTGATGGCTTTCACGACGCGAGGGGGTCTTGGGTTAGGTCGGGCCTGTCCTCCTACAGGCGAATTTTGGGCGACAAGTTGAGAGTACTCCAATAATACCCCCAAGTAGCCAAATAATGATTAAATCACATCGTCCCCAGACTGTTGTTTGACTCTTCTTGAACTTTTCTCCTGTAGAGGGACAGGCTCGCCTCCCGTAGAGGGACAGGCTCGCCTTGAACATTATACTCCTGCAGAGGGACAACAGTGGCCACAAAGTGTAAGAAACATCGTCCCAGACTATCTTGTGGACTATTTTTCATAGTCCTCCTGCGGACCTCTGGTGACCTGCGGGGGATATCGCTTCCGCCCCGGCCCCGGTGCCGGAAGCGTTATAATTTCCTCTGATGAGGGGGGGGGCGAGGGGGTTTCCTGATTGCTTCCCAGGGTTATTTTGTGGACTATTTTTGCATAGTCCTCCTGTAGAGGGACATGCCCGACTGAAGTCTTGGGCCAGCGGGCGCCCACGCGGGGGCATGGACATGCCGGGGCCCGCGGCCCGCGGGGGGGGCACACCGCTCCGAGCGCGCCCCCCCCCCCGGGAGTCCGTGCCAGCGCGGAGGCGATGCCCAGGGCGCCGAGCACCGCCGCGGCCCGCGCGGGCCCCCGGGCCACGAGCATCCCTGGTCTCGGGGGGCGAAGGAACCGGGGACCAGAGCCAGCATCGCAAAATGCACGGATCTCTACCATTAGGGGGAAAACAAACACCGACCTCGCTTTTGACCGCCCTCGCTTCCAAGAGATACCAAGCGATGCCAAACTACGGCCTGTACTGGTCAGGCCGCTTGACGAGGAGGCGCGTGGTACGACTTGGTTTTGCCTGGAAGCGAAAGCGGGGTGGGTAACGCACGCTCTGAACAACATGTGTTTCTTCGATCCCCGTGCTCTCCCTTGATTTCGGCCTCTAGAGCCTTGCTTAGGCCCCGGAGCCATCAGACATGGATCCGTAAGGATCAGCGTCGCTTCGGGCAAGGGATCGGGACCTCTGGGGCCGCAGATTCAAACAATCGGATCGTCGGATGTCTGGGCAATGCCACAGGGAACGCCAAATCAAGAACGAAGCCCCGTCTCGGCCTCCAGAAGCGCCCGGGTCCGCGGGGAGCGCTGGAGGAACAACCATGGAAGGACATTCAGGAGCAGCGAGGCCACTCCGAACCCGAGGCATGTTTCAGCATCTTGCCCGCACGGTGAGGCACTCTGGCTTGGCGTGTCGCGCCGGCGGCCCCTGCGACACGCGATGCCTTGCAGGCGGGCAGCGCTTCTCTCTCGGCCGCCTGGGACGGGAGGCTGGGAACAGCTCGGGCGGTTGATGCTCGGAGACTGGGGCGTGCTTCGCGAGTCGCGCCAAAGCATGGGGGGCCAAAGCCGGCGGCGCCTCACGCTGCGCGAGCGCTCCTGACCAGAAACTCGCGGATGTCCGCGCGGACGTCTTGGGTTGGCACTGGGCCCCCTCCCCAGGCCCGGCGGCGCCTCCAGCGGCGAGGAGGGGTGTCGGGGCGCGGGTCTGGGGCGTCGACCCGAGGAAGCCCGCGCGACCCTCCAACAGGCACCGTGGGGGCATTGGACAAGGAACCCGTAGATCAGGAATCCAAGGTCTGGAAGCCGGTGGAACTCAAATCGCGGATCGGCCATGGACATCACCGCCGCCCTCCCCAGATAAGGAATCCTCCAGCGCCTGCAGCCTCCTGGGCAACTTTCCTGAACGAGCGCCCCCACCGTACAGTCGGCCTTGATTGGACAGGACACGCGAGAGGACACGAGACTCTTGCGAAGGCCACATCGCCACAGGAGTGTAAGAAGGCACGTGTCGCGAGGCACAGGACACACGGGCACCCTTGAGCTGGCAAGGTCGCCCTGCTAATCAGGGCCCAACGTAGTTTTGGACGCCCGAAATGGGCACGGAAAGAATGGGCACAATGCCCAACAACAAGTCTTGTCCTAAACCAACAGCGGCCGCTGTTGGGCGGGCGGGCTTCTGTCTCAAATGGACACAGGCCGCGGCGGCGCGGACTGCGAGTCCTGCTCAAAATGAACAGGAACTGCTGTTGGGTATTGTGCCCATTCTTTCCGTACCCAGTTCGGGCGTCCAGAGTAGTATCGATGCCACTTCTTGGTCCCCGGAGGAAGCCAGGTCCACCACCAGCAGGCCTCCTTGCGTGACGCTGGCGGGGGCAAAACGACGCGGGACAAAAGGCCGGGATGCACACCGGGCCTCTCCGAGAGCCGGCGGGCGCCTGGGAGGAGGCAGCGGGCGCCGCGGCCGCTCCGGCGCCTGCCGGTCGACGCTTCGGGAGGCGATATCGGGAACGCCATGGATCAAGGGGCCCAAGGGCACACAAAGAAATACACACCAATCAAAAGATTCCCCACATTTTCGCATCTTTTCTGGGGGGGGGGTGTCTTCCCCCCCATTCCCCCCATATTTTCTGATATTTTCTTGGGAATCGACGATTCATTGTGCCTGCGTGTTTTTTGCCCTCCTGCATGGAGCGACCCATAGTTGTCGGAGGCCGGGCAAGCTCGAGGAACTCGCGGCAGGCTCGTGCCGCGTCGACGCGGCGGCGGCCCCCGGCGGCGGACGTCCGGGGCCGAGCGCCGCCGGTGCCCGGAGCCGTCCAGAACGGCCTCGGCGAGGAAGCCAAAATCATTGGTTTTGCTACAGTCGGGGCGTTGGCCTAAGGAACCCTAAGTAAGGAACGAGGCCCCTTTTTCTCCATAAGTTCACCTCCGAGTTCCTGCCGAAGACCCAGGGACAGTCTCAGGCAAGCTGCGAGACACTGAAGGAACACGGAGCCCCTCCCCAACGAACAGGGTTCCTTCTTCAGGGCCCCGACTGTATGGTTTTGGGCCCCATGTTGGCCCCTTGGGGGACCGACGTCGAGCGGCCCGCGCCGCCGTGGTGCCGCGTAGAGGCAGCGCCGCGTGGGGGGGCGGAGGGGCCCTGCTGGCCGCGGCGAGCCTCGGCCACGGACGTGCGCCCCGCGACCCGCGCGTGTGCCGAGACCCGCCCCAAAGCTTTGGAGCCCCGCCCGGGCCCAGAGTCGGGGGTTGCTAGATGCACCCCTGGGGCCCTCCGGGCCTCGCGAGGGGTGCTCTGGAGGCCGTGGGGGCCTCCTTGGATCTTGGGGGCACCTTTGGCCAGGGGCACTTCTAGCAACATCCGACAGAGGGGCCCTGGCTTCGGCGTCGTGGCCCGTGCGGCCGCCCCACCCTGCTGGGAGCCGAGGTCCACTCTCGGGTCGGGCGAAAGGGGGGGATAGCAAAGGGGGGGTCTGAGAATCAGCTCACGTAGCTGATTTTCCCCCTCGCCTCCCGGCGCCGGAGGCGGCCATGTATCGAGGAATGGGCCCCTCGGTGAGGCCGAAACCAGCTGCATGCACCAAATTTCGTGACCCCCCTTTCCCAATCCCCCCCTTTCGTCCGGCCCGACACTCGAGGCCTGGGCCCAGGCTGCTCCCTGGGAGGCCTGCTGGTGGTGGCTAGCTCCTCTCGCCTGGTGTCTATATGAAGTTCAGTGGCGCCCTGGTTCGGAAGCCAGGTGCAGCGATCATTGAGCCACACAGGCTGCGGACGGACGAGCGGAGATGGGAGGCTGGGACGCAGCAGAAGGCACGGATCGGCACGGGGAGAAGAAGGAGACGCAACTGGAAGAGTCAGCAGCAGTAGAGCGACAGTGATCATGATCAGAAGGAGAAGAAGAAGCAAGCGCACTCAATCAACGCTCACATGTTCACCTCTGCCGACGAACCTGAGCAACGTCAGAAACGTGCATGCAGTTGCTTGGCTTAGAGCTGCTGGGCACTGTGCCACACGGCAGAAGACGACACGAAGCCACAACAACCATGCATGGGCACGCGGGCACAGATCGTGTGTCACGGAACCGCGCGGCGCTGGGCAGCAGCTGGACTCGCTCTGGCGCGCGCATGCACAGCGCTGCGCGGCACAGCCGGGAGCACGCCTCCGAACCAGCGGATGCCCTTCCTGGGCGAGCGGCAGCAGAGCCTCGCAACCTTGCCCGGCACAACGCCACACTCCCGCCACCGCGCGGCACGCCGCGGGGACACAGCGCCTCGCGGTCTGCAACGTGTGACCCAGCGGCACCACCCATGAGCCTACCACGACATGTTCGTAGAACTAGTGAATAATCGAACAGAAACGACAACTTCTTTGAACATCAAGCCGATTGGTTAAGGCAACGCTGTCTCAGCAAGACATGTTCTAAGAACATGTCGTTCAAACCACAATGGTTATTAGAGCACGCATTGGTGGGCCTGCAGCCAGTTCGCCACTGCTTGATCCTCAACTGCTCGGCTCGGGCTTGCTGGTTGGGCGGGGGGTTAACCGCGGAGCCCCCCCAGCCACGGCTGCGGGGCCACACCGCATGGCCCCTGGCCAAGCTATGGTCAGGTTGCCGACGCCGCCGCCGCCAGACTCGACAAGACTATTTGAAGAGGATCGGTGATGGGCACTGGCCACAAGCCCTGTCGTTGTCGGAACAACGAGCCAGAAGCCGCATCCCTCCTTGACTAATTCGCTTGCTTCGCGAATTGGCCAGTCCCAATTCCATTCCTTGCCCCTGACCTCCGCCGACTCGACATCTTCGTGTCTCGGGGCCCCGAACCTCTCGACCATCTCCCTGGGACCAGCTTTTTGACCCGAGTGGTTACGTGACAACCCCATATTGTTGTTTGTTTCTATGTCGGGCAACGGTTGTTACCAGGGGGGGGGATTGGGGCTCCAGGTAGCCCTAGGGTGAGGTGGGGAAGCTCCGGGCGGGAGGTGCTGCGACCGCCATTTTGTGCGCGCGAGCAGCAACATGTGGGTGGGGAGTGCCCCCCCCCCACACACACACACACACACACACACACACACACACACACACACACACACACACACACACACACACACACACACACACACACACACACACACACACACACAAACCTACTCACGATCGATCGATACCATTATCCCAGGCTGCGGGTTTGGCCCGGGTAGCGACCGCTATGAGCCAGCGGATGAAAAACAAATTACATGGGATCGCAAGCCAGCCCCTGGAGGCCGAAGCTGCAGAACAACCTCAGGCGCTTGAGATTCTCGCATCCTGGAGGGCGTGGGGACGGCGTCGCTCCACTGGCATCGCGCCCTGCTGCCCAGTCACAGGGCGCTGGGGCCACCGAGATCGCCCTGCGCGCGCGGGACGCGGGGTGCACGACGTCGGCGGCGTCCGGAAGAGGCGAGGCGAGGCGAGAGGAGCACGAGGGCTCCGGGCCCCTTCGTGGAAGCTTGGCCATGGGCACCAGCACCAAGACCAGGGGTTGCCTTCCACGGGAGGAGGGCGATCCTGGCTTTTGGTGTTGGCGGTGATATCTTGTGGCCACCCAAGAAGCCCGAACATTACCACCATCGCCGAGATCGGGCGCATCTTCCCTCGGTGGAGGCACGCCGCCGACGTGGGCACGCTGCGCAAGGAGCGAAGGACACGCTCTTGAGGCCAAGGGCGAGCGCCTCGGCCACGGACAAGTTCGGTCCGACCCGGGTCGCAGGAGCGGCCCGAAAACCAGAGCGATCGAGAAACAAATCAAAACAACCACGCACAAATCAATACGGTCGCGCAAAAAAAAAACAATACTTGAGGGCCAAATCCAATACATCGGCCCCGAATTCAATACATATGAAAATAATCAGCACCTCTACCCATTATCCGCCGACCCCTTGGGGATCATCGGCGTGTGAGATGCTTCCCCCTCCCCAAACCCCTCCCCCGGGAGCCCGGTCCGGTCGATTTGGAGGGGGGGGGGGGAGGTCCGGGACGAGCGCAGCACGGCCGGGACGAGCGCAGCACGGCCGGGACGAGCGCAGCACGGCCGGGACGAGCGGTTCACGGGGCTTTTCCAGGCCCAAGAGGGCCTCAAGACGGGCCAAGAAGCCCCCAAGAGGCCTCCAAGACGGCCCACGAAGGCCCCGAGACGCCAAACGACCGCTCCAAGACGCCCAAGATGGCCCCAAGACGGGCCAAGAGGTCTCCAAGACGGCCCCCGAGGTCCCAAACAAGCCTCCCAAGAGGGCCCCAAGAGTCTAAAATTGTTGATTTTCCATAGTGTTTTTCTATGTTTTTTGCTTTTCCGCCTTTTCGGCTTCCCGACGCTCCAAGACGGCCAAAGAGGCCCCAAAGACAGCCCCAAGATGGCCCAAGAGGCCCCCAAGACGGCCTCCAGACGGCCCAAGACGGCCCCAACACGGCCCAAGAGGTCCCCAAGACGGCCCAAGAGGGCTCCAAGACGGCACCAAGAGGGGCCCAAGAGGGCGACCAAACATGTTGAAACTCTAGCTTTCTGCCCCCAGGAGCCCCAGGGGGCCCCAAGAGTGCCCCAAGAGGCCCCCAGAGGCCCTCACGAGGCCGCCCAGACGCCCCAAGGAACCCCCAAGAAGCACCCCAGAGGCTCCGAAACGGCCCCCAAGTGGCTCCAAAACTCGCGGTGTCGCCGTCCGCTCGGACCCCCCCGCGGAACTGCCCGAGACCCTCTGGCGGTGGCGGCGAACAGACACCAAACAAATATCACTCGCCTTTTCACCCCTTCGCAGCTTCTACTACCCCCAGATTGGCATAAACAAGGGGTCGGCGGTGTGGCGTAAGCCTAAGAATCAGTAAATCCAAGCCCTCTTGGGAAAAAACAATACGGAGGATGTGTGGGAACCCCAAACGGTCCTTATTTCAGCGGCTGGCCTGTCTTCGAGGAACAGGCCACGACGTAGACATAGACGCTCGGAGGTCCGCGCGGACCTCCGAAAGCTGGTGGCAAGGTGCTTGCGTGTTCATGCCTGCTCCTCGATGTGCACTTGTTGCCCTGTATCTTGGCAGCGCCCGACATTGTGTCCTTGGGCTCGAGGCCCACTCCTCTACGGACGTCCGCGTCTCCGCTGTGCACGCCTCTCTTAGGGGAACTAAACATAAAACTCGGAGGTCCGCGCGGATTTCTCGGATTCGCGCTGGGCCCCCCTGGCGGCGCCTCTGGCGCCGCCCCTGGCGCGCTCCGCGAGCCCGGGAGGGGGCTCCAGCGCCGA